TACTTCAAAATAAATTACTAAGCTTAGCCTTAGTGTCTGTTTTTTTTAACATATGACACACTGATGAAACAGAAAGTGCGTTTTTATTCCATTAGAGGAGAAACTGGACAGATGAAGATATCCATGAGTTGATTTTACTGCCAGGCAGCAAAGCGGTTTTAGTGAAGCATCTTGAAAAAGTTCAGAAAAGATGAAGTGCACCTATTGTATAAATAATAACCTTATTAATATGAATAAGATAATTTATTTCCGAATAAAATGAAAAAAAAAGCTTTTATTGATTTAAACAACTGGACACAAAGAGAAGCCTCTTAGGTGAGACTATGAAGCCTCCTTCTCCTTTCCCAATGGATCTGATTAGAGTGCTTGTAAAGTGGAAAGAGAGGTGGTCTGCAGTCATCACTGATTCTTGATGGGATCTATTTTGAGAAAAGGTTTCATAATTTCTCTTCAAACACACAGAAAAACAAGACAATGTCTGTCGAGTGGTTACTTTCTATAATAGTAGCCTACATGTTGAGATGTGACATTTAGGAAATATTTCATGAAGGCCACCAAAGCTCCCATTAGGCAAATGTATCATTACGATCAGTGTGTTTCTCTCACTCATACAAGGAACACAGATTTGTTCAACTGTGTTCAGTTTGTCCGTATAGATTTGATCATATTAATATATGATTATAAACAATCAAAGTAATCCATTGACAAATTCAAATTCAGCATATTTCATTCCAGACATAAAGGTAATAAAATACAATGAAATTCAATTTATAGAGACCAATGGTTCAAAAAGGTTCTGCAGAACAGAGCCAACCACACTTAGTTGTTGAATTTGCAGCAATCCTTCAAGAATGTGGGGACAGTGGAAAGAAATGATTCCCTTTTAGTAGGAAGAAACCTCAAGCTGCATCTGGATTAGTATGAGAACCCATCCGATGCAATAAGAACACAAAAGCACTTGTTCATGTGTATGTTCTATACTTTAGAAATGTGAATGAGAAAGGCAAAAAAAAAAATCTTACTTAGTGGCTTCCTTTAGAGCAGGAAAACAGCTCAATATACGCTCAAATGAATGGATGAATGTCTGGATGGATGGACCTAAAAGTTGGATAGTGCATAAAGTCTCGAAGCACAATCAATTTTTACATTCTCAATATCTCCTATACCTAAGCAGACATAAGGCGCACTCCTACAAATTCCATCAAGTCTAGAGGAAGGATGAACGCCGCAGCCTGGATGCGTTTTCAATAAAGCTTTCCAAAGCATCTGCTGCAAATGTTGATATCCACCACATTAACTCTGCAGCTTAGAGTGCTGCCCCAATTTTCATAAGAGTATAGAGTATCTATAGGGAACGTCCATAAAAAATATTATAGTGAAGCTTTTTACATATTTTTTTAGGTCTTTGGGAATTAAGATCAGTTTATTTGCAAAAAAGTAGGCTAGATGTTAACTTTTAACAGTAATACATGCCTTGAAAGTCAAGAAACCATCCTTGTCATCGCTTTCTAATTTGAGATTGTAGTGCCCTCTATAGGGAAAAAGATTAACTGAACAGAACAAACTTCAACATTTTTTGTCTATTAATGGAAATTTGGTGAATAAATTATCCGCAAGGAACCCCCCTTGAGCTTCCGAATAGTCTGCATCTTGAAGCCAAGCAGAAGCCCCTTAAATGATAACAAGACTTTAAAAAAGAAAAGAAACTCATTTTTGAAGCACTCTCCTGAGGGAGGTTCTCATTGGGTTGAGAGGATATGGACTCCTACCAAACACCTGATGCCGCTGTGGGAACAGAAATCCAGTCTTCAGGCACAACAAGATCGCATCACAGCATGAGTTCTTAAACCAGCAGAGATAATCCGGCTTTGCTTAAGCACAACTCCCTAAAAGACAGACATTGTGCATTTAAAATGCATCAAAGATATCAAAACAATCAGACTTCAGCTTTTATTGTTCTTTGCCGCAGGGCGTCATTATTAGGCCAAAGGGCACAAACAGTGATTTGGAAATGTGTTCATCCCTCTTGAGTCTTTCCATATTTTGTCATGTTACAACATGCATTCATTTGAAGTTTATTTTACATGCCACCGCAAAGTACCTTATAGCTTTAAACGGGGGAAAAAATGAGTCAATACCACATATTCTAAATTGCATTTGATGTCACAGTCCTGCTTGTAGGTGAACCTCTCTTCTTGCAGGTTTTTCCCAGCATTTCCCCAGTACTTAGCTACCATAGGCCATCTTTTCTTATTTATACCCTCTGACCTGCCCTGTCAGTTTGGGTGGACAAAGACATTTTGGTAAGTATGCACCTCAGCAAGGTTGTTTCCACTTTTATATGATAGATCAAGTAGTCCTCAGTGAAATGTTGGGATATTTGCGCATCATAAAAAGCACCTTCAAACATATTCCGAGTTTATTTTGAAATATCTGGTTAATTTTTCTGAACTTTTCAAATATATGTATTGACTTTTTTCCTATTAAAGGGCAGGATTTACATTTAAAATTAAACAACACATAGACAGGCTTCATTTTCCAGTTATTATTGTGGAAAAAGAATTGATTTGCAGAATAAATCAATTTAAAAATCAAATCTGACAATTACACACTATTTACTTTGTAGTTGGTCCAAAGAATAAAATATTTATGAAATGTGCAAAAGCTTGTGGTTTTAATGCATGTTTTAAATACTGCAGAAATATAGAAAACAAAAGCACTTCTGAGTGTTTCACAGCTGAATCTGTGTATCATTCATTCATTTTTCAAATTAAAACCTTCTAACTTTCTAATTGTTTCCAAAAATATATATATATATATTGAGCTGTTATCCGTTATTAACCTTACATCATCCCAGATAATATCCAGGCCGTCAATTTGCTTGAGATCAAAAATGGAAAAATAAAAGATCATGAGAATTATTCCTACTTTCCATTTTTGATTTAGTGCACAAAATCGAATATATTGATACACGGATTCAGCTGCAGTGTAACAGAAATATTGACATGAAAAATATTTCAGCATAATAGGACAGTATGATTTAATAACTTTAACAACAGCAATCTTACATGCCCAAAAATAATTGGGTAATTAGAAGACACATTGAAATTATCAATTTAAGGTTCTCTTGTATACTGTAGATGCCACTGGGGACTGAACAGCACATTAAAGAAACCTACTCATCAAGCTCTTAAATCAACAAAGCAAAGCCTGCCAGCAAGAGGCCGCTGCATGTCGACTCAAGGAGCCAGACGGACCACATATTGGGACACTGAGGATATTTTAAGTCGCCCAACTCTTATCAAAAAAAGAAAAAAAACCTTCTCCTTTTCCAGTTCGCTAACCACACACACTGGATCTTTAAGCCAAATTGTCTTGGAGGGGGGAAGAGACATGAGGTCTTGGTGTCTGCCACTCCGTACCGCCACATAAAAAAGAAGGTGAAGGATGCCGTGTGAGCAATTGGTTCCAATTGACAGAAGATTGGTCATGGTCAGCCTTCTGAGTGGAAATCCACGTGAGAATTGACCAGCGAGGGGCACAAGAGGCCAACAGCAGACAATGAGGCCACTCAGAGGAGTCTGGCTGCTGTGGAAATAAAGGGAATTTAACCCTTTATCTACTTTTTCATTCCAGTTAATATACTGAAGTACATATTTTGTAGTAGAACTATAAAAGTATTTTGCATACTGTACTCCTGATAACATAACAGTTGGAAAAAATGATTTGGATTTTTGCAACCCCATTAGAGAACAGTTTGGGTTCAGACGAGTGTGTTGAATAAACAAAGGTTAAATCAAATGTTTAAAGTTGCTTTAATGCTACCTCCTCAAATGCAAAGGCCAAGTTAACCATTTCCATCCTTGTGACTTTTTCACCAATTAGGAAGGTCCTGCTCACTGAAAGAGACCAGCTGCTTTAAAGTCTCAGAGGGCCAAAGGGTCACTGCTCGATCACTCTGCTTGGAGAGGTTGTGTGTTTCTATGAGCCACTAGCTGACAGGACAAGCCGGGGTCAAAAAAGGAGGGGGTGGGGCAGTGATTGGTGGGTGTGAGGAGACATGCCAGCTCCAACCCTTTGAAGCCCAGACACTGGCCAGGGCAGCTTGGGCCTTCACAGTGCAGCCGTTCTCTTCTCCAGGCCTACAGCAGCTAATGACAAGGCCCCAGCTGCTAATTATACGGCTGAGGGAAAGTCAGTCAAGTGGGACTGTCAGAGCAGGGGGTGGCCCTTGTGTCTGCAAATTTGATGGAAAGTCAAGGGCGGGAGATGGATAATAAGAAGGGCTCCACCTCCATGAGGAGAGAAGCAAAACTATGCAATCAGACATCAGCATACACATATGGTTGTGAATATATTTTCATTTTAATTATTTATACTTAAATAAGTTTGCCACAGGGTTTAATTGAAAATACTACAAATAAGTTGAAAGGACTTTTTTTTTGAAGAATTAGGTGAATGTTTTGAGGATTTGAATCTAACATGCATGTAAAAATTTATTGATACACTCCTACAACCCAGTGGTAGGTTGAACAGTCATTGGAACATTTCACTTAATCACATTCTTACTGAAACCATCAGTGAGGTCTCAGCATAGTACTGACTAGTACTGACAGAAAAGGTTTAACTAATTTTATTGTTTTGTTTCCATGAGGCTTAGCCAAACCCAAAACCTCAACCAGAAATCAGCTGCTTTATATGTTCCAGGACCAGTTTTGGTGGGCATTTATACCCTATACTCAAAGAAAAATGGGGTAAAAAAAAAAAGAAAAGAAAGAAATTTAAGTTTAACCAGAGATGTGAGCACATATTTGAGTCTCTGTGTATAATTTTAACCTGTTAGGATTAGAGAAAAACTTACATTGAATTTAAATTGGTGCTTTCGGTTTATACTTCACACAATCATCCTATAAAAAAAAAACAATAAAAAAAAAAAGAGTTCAAAATACACAATTTATCATGACATTCATGCCTATAATGAGTGTTTATCAGACTGTAACTGGAACTGTACAAAATAACTTTAATAAAATCAATGATGTTATGGCAATATTAATCTGGAGGCTGGATTTTCACTCTCAGCACACTGTGCTGTAACCCTACAATCAAACATGGATCCATCGGCACTATGTCATCATCTGACCAGAGGATATCGGGGCAGGACCTGTTGAATTCCAGATGAAATAGTCTTTGGATTGAAGTTCTCTAGCTGAGGATCACACAAGGACAAGAGTTTCAGTTTAACATAAGAACAGAGCAGGGAGTGCTTGGTTATCAAAGCTTCCAGCTTACATGTGATAATCTTGGGTTTGGCAGATGAATAAACTTGCACTGAATGCTGGTCGACGCTACATCCAGACAGGGTCGTGTCTGGTACCTTTAGGTGCAGCTGTTAGGGGAAAAAGGTAAAACCGTTCAAGTCAACAACTCTAACACGGTTTGTTGGTTCCATGGTCGCTGTGATGGTCACATGGTCAGTAACCCCACACACAACCACTTTTTCATAAGTTTTAATACACACTAGCATAAAATATATTGGTTTGTTTATTTTGACAATATTGAAGACATTAGTTCCAATTGTAGCGCGCACATTTGGTTAACTTTTGTATATTTAATTTTGTCAAATGCTTAATACATTTTGTGCTTTCTTTTCTGGTGTTGTGGGAGTGCCATCAACTGGGAGAATATGGCTGACATGATCATGTACTGATTGGGTGGTACCATCTGGAGTTCCACTATGGGGGAAGACCATGGACTCAACATTTTAAATATGTTGCATAATTTCTTCTTCTTACTTTTGTGATTTGCTCATTTTGTTAATTTGTTTAATGATTGTCATTTAAGTTTAATCCTTAAGCTAACTGTTTAGTTATTTTTTGTTAAATTGGTGGTTTCATTTGGATGGGATTAAACTGATTTCAGATAATAAAGTAAAAAATCTTGGTGTTGTTTTTGATCAGGACCTGTCATTTAGGTCCCATATCAAGGAGGTTTCTAGAATTTCCTTCTTTCATCTGAGGAACATTGCAAAAATTAGAAATATCCTGTCCAGGGGTGATGCTGAGAAACTAGTCCATGCATTTGTTACTTCAAGGCTGGACTATTGTAATTCTTTACTATCAGGAAGTCCACAAACTGTAGTTAAAAGCCTTCAGCTGATCCAAAATGCTGCAGCCAGAGTTCTAATGAAAATTAAAAAGAGAGATCATATCTCGCCTATCCTGGCTTCTCTTCATTGGCTTCCTGTTAAATCAAGAATAGAATTTAAAATCCTCCTTCTCACATATAAAGCCTTAAATGGCCAAGCTCCATCTTATATCAGAGATCTGATTGTTCCTTATGTTCCTAACAGAGCACTTCGCTCTCAATCTGCAGGTTTACTAGTGGTTCCTAGAATTTCTAAAAGTAGAATGGGAGGCAGATCTTTTAGTTATCAGGCTCCTCTCCTGTGGAACCAACTACCAGTTTTAGTCCGTGAGGCAGACACCCTGTCTACTTTTAAGGCTAGGCTTAAAACTTTCCTTTTTGATAAAGCTTATAGTTAGAGTGGCTCAGGTTATCCTGAGCTATCTCTATAGTTATGCTGCTATAGGCTTAGACTTTTGGAGGACATAGGGACCCCCATTTCATCATTCTGCTTCATTCTCTCTCTGTTCTCCTATTCTGCAGAATCTGTTAGTTCAATCTCTAACCTTCTGCTCTCTCTGCTTTTCCTCAGAGTAGCTTTGCCTCGTCTGTTCCTGTTTGGCTGTGACGTCATCCTGGAAAGAAACATCAGCTGTGCTGCTTCTATCAACACCCTTGTTTATAGATGTTGGAGATCGGCCTGTTTTCCAGTGTGGTCCTGTTTCTCTGACCGTGACTGAGTGGATGTGCTTTCTTCGTCCTCTGGCATGGGAGCTGCCTTGGAGCTCGTCTGCCTGGCTGTGTGTTTCCTGGACGGGGCCGCCTTTTACAGCTGCTTTTTGTATCTCTGCTTCTGTCTCCTTGAACCCCAGTCGGCCTCGGCAGATGGCCGCTCACACTGAGCCTGGTTCTGCTGGAGGTTTCTTCCTGTTAAAAGGGAGTTTTTCCTCTCCACTGTCGCTACAAGCATGCTTAGTGTGGGGGATTGTATTTGAGTCAATGAGTCAATGCAATCAACTGGTTTTCCTTAGATAGAAAACTTTGTATCAATTTGATCTGGTTGAACTGTAAAGTGCCTTGAGATGACATGTGTTGTGAATTTGGCGCTATATAAATAAACTGAATTGAATTGAATTGAATTGTTGATGTTCTCCCTACCTCTTCCACAGTGTGTCAGTCTGGTCTGATCAGCCAATATTTAAGTCCCCTTTGTTTGCTGTGTGTCAGGTCAGTTTTTGTTTAAGTTAGTTTGAGGTTTGATATGTTTGAACTTGACATTTTCTGCCCTTAGTTAGTCTCTTTATTTGACCTCTTTTAAGGGCCCTGGAATTTTTGTTTGGATTATTGTTACTTTTGGGAAATAAAACCCAGTTTTCTTGACAATCACCACTGTGTCCTCATGCTTGGCTGGCTCGGTCCCTCACAGTCGCGTTAACAGAAAATGGTTCAAATGCCTAAAATCCATCATTTAAAAGCAGAAAAAAGTAGCTTTAATCAGAAGGAACCTCTGGAGAAGCTGCAGTTATCCTTACTTAAAAAAAACACACTCTACTAGCTAAGAGTTCCTCCAAAATGGCTTTTTCAGAAGATTGTAAAAAAAAAAAAAAAAAAAGTAATGTCCTGTTTGCTATTTTTACACGAGGAATTATGAGAATTTAGCTCCTATTCTGCTTTGAGACCAAATTAAAATCGCTGGCCTACATGCAAAATGACACATATGGATTAAAAAAAGCTAAAAGGTTTGAGACTGAGGCTTAAATACTTTTGCAAGATGCTAAATGTACCTCAGATTTATTTTTTTTTATTTTTCTTACAGCTTTTGGGTTAGATTTTTACAAATCTAAAGAAGTTGAAGTAAGAAAAAATACAATACTTAGCACTAGCATTTTCAGTGGAAAGGTATTGTTTGAACTGTTCCATGAAAATGTAATAAATAATATTAATTAATTCCTGCAAGTCACACTTATAATTCAATAAATTCTGAGTACAGCTTTTTGTAGTTTCTTGAATATCTGAAATCCTGTTTTTAATGTATAATATTATATTAGATTTTTTTTTTTTTGGTGAAGTTTACGAGCAGACAGGTTTCTTTACATGTTAATGGAGAGACAAAAGACTTTACCTCAATGTAGGCTGTAAGTCCTGTGCAGAGAGGGTGTGAAGGTCCTTGAGAGGATCCAGAAAATGTTATTTTTCCCTCCAGCGTAACCTCACGTGACTTTGGAAACTTTTGACCTTTATTTTGAAAACAACACAAGTAATAATAGTTACATTTTCAAAATATTATTTAAAAAAATCTCTCAAATTTATTATACAAAACTATGAAACAACATGTACCCAGAGCCCAGATCAGGCGATTTTTCTCCTTTGTCACGTCTACTTGTCCAGAGCTCACCTTCACATCCACATTACCCATTTGATTTCTAGAAAAAACATACATTTGTGAAAAGCATGAGACTCGCACTACAAATTAAAAGCACAACACACCGAACCAATCATCTGATTGGTTGGAATTTTCTTAAGACAGACAATGATATAGATTATCTTTTTTTAAATGGTAAAATGGTAAGCCAGTATTTCTGATTTATACTTTATACACACTCTTCAGTTTTAGTCTAATTTCTCTGGAAAATAAACGAAAAGTTTAGCAGAACAAAAATATAAAAAGCATAAAAACTGCACACAGAAGGAAGACATTCATATTCAAATAGGCCTTGTGTTAAATCAGAGGTTTAAAATTGGTTAACTGGTTGCATATTTACTAGGTTTATAATATATTGGGAGTCCCTCTAAAGCCCCTGTCACATTTTAGACCAGCATATGCCTGACGTACGGAAAATCAGGCAAAAACGCTGGCATACGTTGGATAAGTTATGGGAATGTTTTGCATAAGTTATGAGCACGCTGAAGCATGCTGAAGCATGTCGACATAAGGCCAACCATCTAGCTGGACAACTCCTCACCTGGGGGAAGGAGGAGGTGATAGAAAGAGGGACAAGGGTCAGCACCCCCCTCCTTGGACATCTTGTGGAAAACATTACCTATTGTTACTCAGGTGCAATATTCTTCTCTCTCACTGTGCAATAATACATGCCAATTACCTGTAGCCTGTGGAATCTTTTACTCATTTATAAGGTCAGTACATCTCTGCAGTAATCCAAGTCAACTACTATGTAGTCTTCCCTTAGCTCTCTACAGTGCGGATATTTTTATATCTAAACCATATTCCACGACATTACAACTCTTTACAACTTTTTGTACTATATACACTCTTTTTGTATCATCTGTCGTATTTTTACCTTTAATGGCATCATGCTTTAACTCTTTGTTATCTATATAACCTACTGGAACCAGAATTTCCCTGAAGGAGTAATCCCAAGGGATATAAATAAAAGTTTAAGTCTATACTGGCCCCTGTTGGCCCCTTTCTAGAACCGCCCATGCTCCTCAGTAATAACTCCTAATAAATCTGACCAGAACTGACATAGAAATGAGAAATTATAACAACAAGAAAGGCTAGTTAAAGGTGATTATGATATTATTATGTTGTTTGTCATTTTATGCATGAAATCTGTCAGACTTCAAGTGTTTTTTTTTTTTTTGTCTTTCTTTCCTAGGAGGCAAACTAGCATTATTTATTTAGAAAGGCTCCCTATTTGTTTTCATTGATAATAACTGTGGGAAGAACTACGCCAGCCTGAGTCTACTTTAAGGGCGTTTGTTGGCTAATAACAGTTTGGGATTTCAACACATAAAAAGCTTTAGATGTTTAATGTTCCAATCAGACAATTTTTAACTGCAATGTAATGTAGGTTTTTTTTTCGGGTCTGGGAAAACTGCATTTAGCTGGTGTGAAATCAAATACTGGCCTTTAAAATGTCCCGGCTTACTTTTACCTGACCTACTCAGATCAGTTACCACTTTATCTGACTAATAACTAGTAAATAAATGCTAATGTAGCAAAAAAAGAAGATATACTCTATAAGGTGTGAGCAGATGCTGCTAACCTGTTGAAGAACGGCAGGAGTGCTTCACAGAACTCAAAACTGTTCTTCACAGACTCGTGGAGTTTAAGGGATACGTTCACACGAAGGCTATTCTCTTCTTCTTTAAGCTGATATGAGCCAAGGATGGGTGGAACAGGCACCTGGAAGGAAAGATCAACATTTGATCATTCTCTTGAACGCCTCATAAAGTCTCAGGTCTTCTTCTGAGGTGTATACCTGTGACGTGTAGCTGCAAAGTCTAAATGGCTCCAGAGGAGGGGAAAAGGGAAACTTGTATGGCCCAGAGAAAGCCGAGCCGTCGGCGTTATCCAGGCTGCTGGCGGTCAGGATACTTAAATCTAAGGAGGTCACGCAGGGATGGACTAGGATGTCCTGCAGTGGAGAACCATTGTGTGGCAGTGAGAGGGTCACTGTGACGTTTGGTAGCACCCCCTCCACTTCACACTGATGAAAGAACAGTGATGAATAAGACAGATATAGAGGTTATGAAGTGACAGTACATTTTAAAAAGTTTTTAAAAAGGACTTTCTAACATTTTGGGATGCCAAAGCCAGAAACTTTGATGTATTTGTTCAGATTCAATTGAAGACAGTAACAGAATGGGGAATAACTGTGAAAGCCGAGCAAGGATTTATGGTAAAAATAGAACAGGAAGATTAGGATTGTTGATTCCAGCTTCCTCCTTTCACATGTTGATGTGCTCCTGGAAAAGGCACTCAACTCTTATTTCCCAACTGATCAGTGCGTGTAAGTGTGTTTGGGTGAAAGCACTTAATTCTCAGCATGCCTAGAGAAGGGCTGCATAAATTCAGTCAGATTTCTGAAAAGTGTGGAAAGCAAATGTATTCAGTCTCTTTTGCTCTAAAAACAATCATTAAAATGTATTATGTGTTTTAAGTGCTTTATCACAGATGAAGACAAGGGGCTCACATCATGTCTAAAGGAGCTGCACCTTTTTACTTTGCACTAAATATATCTGAAATGTATGAAAAAGGATACTAGCAAGAGCTAAATTTGTCTTTGAATATAAAGAGAAATCTATATATTATGTTTTAAAGTGTGTCGGTGTATAATGAGAGAATGTTTATGAGGTGAGGAGAACTATAACTGCTTTCCTCACACTTACTTTGCAGGTTACAGTCCCATAAACATCCCACAGGTCCTGTCTACTCTGGTCCCCAAACTGCATAGATCGTACAGTTTCAACCACTGCTACATTCACAGTGGCGCGGCCACGATGTAGGCCTGTCTTCCACGGCGGCTGCTTCTGGTTGACAGCAGAGGTGGGCCCAGTGGGCGTAGCAGGTGTTCCTACAAGAGGAATATCAAGGGGCGTGCCAAGGGGGCAAATCTGCAAGAGGAGAGATGGAAGCGCTGCAACACGAGCGACCAGCCCCTCACTATCCAGCTTTCCTCCTGAGCTGAAGAGAAAGGCCTGAAGACCAGCTAGAAGTGTGAGACCCTGTGACACTGACAGGAGGCTGGCCAAAGGTGGCCGTGACTCTGAGGGGATATCCACTAGTGGGAGGCAAGCCAGGATGAGTGGCCCCTGAGAGAGGGCCAACACAGGCCACAGAGTTTTCTTTCCATCCAAACACAGTTCCACAGCTGGTGAGCGTGGGCGGTAAAGACAATCATCCCTGGCAGCTACGAAGTTCTTGTTAGATCTGGAAAGGCCCAGCTCAGTGAGCAGGAGCTGCAGGAAGTTCCTGTCCTCTGGGACTGATACATAGGAGGAACCTGATAGGCTTTTATAACGGTGCTCCACAGTAGCAAACCTCCTGTTGGGAGAATAATAAAACACATTAAGCACCGAGATTAAAGATTTAATATAAAACCTACGATCGTGTCTTAATCATCTATACAAAAAGTCAGTGTGTGCATAGAGAGTAAAACAATCAAAGGGAAGTTACAGACCTTGAGAACCGAACTGATGCATTTTCTCCTTTTTCATGGGAAATAATCCACAAAGCTCGAAGACTCATCCTGGCAGCTGTAAAAGCCTCCCTAGCATATATAAATTAATGTTTACCTTCTTTAGAGCCTGTTTAACTGTTCCATGTCCATAGTCTCTCAATACAGCACTTTACTTCCTGTTGTTTTCTCACGTGACTACCGCCGATAACCAGCTGACCCGTGCGCATGCGCAACATGAGGGGAACGTGCCAGAGATGGGAATTCCGTCTGTTTTCTGAGATCTGGGTTATTTGATTAAGTTCACCACCAAGACCCGCGTTTTAGGCTTTGAGTAACTTTAACTTTAAGATTGATTTAGCTATTTATTTAAGTAGATAACGTTAACTGATTGAAGTATTTCCCTTAGACATCGGTCAGTTTAAGAATTATTTAGTGCAATAATTCTACCAAAGCTTAAAAAGAAAAACAGCCTCTGCTTTGCCCATTATTCCTATTTTGTTTGTTTCATTGCACATTGCTTCGCTTTTATTGTTTGATTTAAAATCATTGATGTTCTTTAACATTTTTAACAGTGTGTCCCGTTACAGTCATAAACTTTGATATATTTTATTCACACTTATGTGACATACCAGCAGGGATGGAGCTAGATGGGGGGCCAGGGGTGGCCACCCCTACAATTTTTTCCCCCTCTAACACAGATTGTGGCAGCAGTAATACTCTTAAATGGAATATTCAAAACATTTACATATTTTTTGGTTAATTATATGCATCAATATGCAAACGTGATAAAAACCGATTTCATGCTCTTTTCAGAACTACATTTTGTGTTATATGGGGTAAAGAGAAAATGTGTTTCTGCAAGTCATCTGGGAGTCTTCAGTGAAATCATAGATAAATAACAATTTTAATAAAAACTTATCAAATAATCAATTTATGCAGATATTGGTGCTTGTAAATATCAATTTTAAGCAGGATATTTATTGATACAAGTAGGTAAATAATGACTATGGAAAAGATTTACGCCCCAGATCTCAAAACTGAAAGAATTGTATCCACTATATCTTTATTTAGATAGCACGGATGTTTAAATATATGCGTCTACTTGTTAGCAAAGGCTGTAGGAAAATATAGTTTGTCTTTATTTAGAAAATATTAATGTTTTGCTTATTAATTTTCCTGTTGGAACAGTGTAGATTGACCCTGAGGTTCTGGCGCCTATCCACTTTCAGCCACCCCTCAGTGTACATTAGTTATTGCCTGGCCATCCTTATGAAAATGTTCTGCCTACGCCTCTGCATAGCAGCTAATTGTGATACATAGTTGTAGTGTCAGGGGGAAAAAAAACATATTGATTGGCTCTGAAAAGTCGGTGTTAAATGTATATGTATTCAGTCCACTTTACTTTGATTTACCACTAAATAAAATCCAAAGTAAAGAACAACCCACTTGTCAACATATTCTCCCACCAAATTATTGGATATATGCAGCTGCTGCTTTGAGCTGAAACCTATCTTGGGCTGTCAGTTTAGGTGGATTGTCATGCTTTGGTAGTTTTGCATTTAAGTAAATACTTTAGTTTTAATGTGATGTCTTAAAACCTGGAAATTGGACTTCGAGTCCATAATAAAGTTTAAATAGAACAATTCTCTTTGAAAGTCAGCTGTGTTCTTTGGTCTTCATGATACTGTTTATTCATACATATCCACTAACAAATCTCTAAGACAGTTACAGAGCAGACATATATTAAAGGAAGATTTAAATCAACATAACTAAAAAGATGAGTTCTGAGCGCCGCATAAATGAACCGGCCAATCGCGTCGGCTCAGGCTCGTGCGGCACTTATCTGTCCCAGTCCCCACCCTTCCCTCCCATACAGGAAGCTGCATTTCTAACCAGCTAACTGTCAACAAAGGGCAAAACTGAAAGGAGAAAACAGCCCCAAGCAAAAGTCAGCGCGATAGCTGACTGTTTATTGGTTGTCTTATCAGTTAAATTAACGGATCTGTGAGGGGAATCGTGAATATGGCGACCACTGCTCAACTGTTCGAGGTAAAAACAACAGCTGGAGGCTGTCCTAGCTAGTAGGCTAACTAATGGTTAACTGTTATAGCGGCTGCTTACGATGTTAATTGAGCTTTACTATGTGTAAATACAGGTTTGTAAGGACTAGTCCAGTTAAAATGCAATTTATTCTTAAAATTTTGAGTGAAAAGAGAGCGACTTATTTCATCTTCCTGGAGATGTTTTTGACTGCGTGCAGGAGAATCCCAGCTGTGATTTAAATATTTTATAAACGGTTTTATTTGTATTTTCTCAGTGGGAATCTTTTGGCTTGCTCATGCTAAGGTCTATTCAGTATTTCACTGTGTTTTTCCACTTTCATGTAGGAACCTTTTGACGCAGATGAGTACATTGAGAGGCTGGCATGGAGGACTCCAGGTGGAGGCTCTAAAGGAGGAGCTGAGGCTTTTGATCCCAAAAGGTAGAAAATAGATACAAAAGATTTCCTTAAATTCCACTTTAACAGCATCTTAAAAAAGATGCTGTTGAACAGTAAAAGTGCATGGTTGTACAATTATAGATTCAAATATACCAATGTGGATTCTGAGTTTTTTTTGTAATAATTTCCTATTTTAACGTTTTCAAAAAAATCTTTCTCATTGTTTTTGAATCAAAAAAGACTGCTGCAATTTATTTTATAACAGGGATTCCGAGGGTCATTAAAAAACATTAAATGTCATTAAAATATTATTTATTTTAATTAAAGCCTTAATTGGCATTACAATTCATTAAATGTGTTTATTGTGGCTTATAAAATGATTTCTTTTTAAAAACTTGTTTATAAAAACAATTTCGTCAGACATATTATATCACGATATATTTGTGTGGAACTGCTTCCGGTTGATCGCAAAGCAGTATGGTTAGAAAAAGCTAGAGAATGGGGGGTGAAAATGCCAATTTCAACAAAAGTGGCTGGAAAAAGAGGAATACGAGACATGGCTGCAGCCTGCCGACGGGTACCTGTTGGTGGCATTAAAATTATTATTAAGAGCATTAAAAGAGCATTAAACAGCATTAAATTAGAGTTATTCATTCCTGTATAAAGCCTGTATAAAAATTGTTGTTTTAATTTCCGTACAAAGTGATGAAATTTAAATATACCTACTTATTTGTTTGTTAGACTTGGTATAATATTAAGGATGATATAATAAACGTAACCAGAACACTGGAGATTTATTCCTTCCCCCAATCTTTCCTGTCAGTGTTTTCATGCTTATTTATCACATACAAGAATCTGGATGTCTTAATTTAAGTTTTTAATCTCAATGTTTACTTTGTTTCTTTTTTAAATCCTTATTCAAAGTTACCCTATGTTTTCGGTTTCTGATTATAGTGCTGAACTTTGTCCAATGTCTTCATTTCTCTTTTAGCTGACATGATTAACTGTAACAAGTCAGTTGCAGGTTTTAATCAAAATTTAATTTAAATTTTTAGCATTCCGCCTCTGTGTTGATATTTTTTTTCTATTAAACTTTCCAAAGATCAAACATGTAGCATAAAAGTTCTTTTATTGCTTTTTTAGTTTATTTGTTTCCACATATGAATCTGTTGAACATCTTACTAATATTGTTTATCAGATTGTTCCTTTATCTTCTATCTTTATTTTACTGAACTTAATTAATTGTAGAGAGATATTCTGTGTCAACTGATGGTTGTAGACTGAAAATGCTAGAAGGTATTCAGTTATCAATTGATATTGGTCATTTCCAACTAATCTATATTATCAATTTTGGCTACATTTCGTAATACATCTGCCAAAACTCTTCAGAAACATGTGAAGTCAAATCAAGTTTATTGATAAAAACCGATTTAAAACAAAGCCAGTCCATCTTAAAGATTAACATTTCAAAATATCATTATGTTGCGTTAGAGACTCTGTTCTTAGTAAAGTTTTTCTCACAAATTTATAATCTTAGATTTTCATGTAGTCAAACATTAATTCATTTAGATTTGCTGGATTAGAAGAGTAATTTCTTTTTACCATTTGTTGGTCAATTAATATTTGAATAATGGTAAAAAAGTACTTTAATTTCAACAATTGACTTTACCTGTTTTCTTTCAAATAAAGTTGTTTAGACATTTTATCTGAATTAGCAAAAAAAGTCCTAGTTTACAGTTGCAAACTGCAGCAAATGTTTATGTGATCCATGTTTATGAGTCAGTCAGTTTGCTGCTAATGATGATACTAAAGATGCTTTAGTATCTTTACACAAGCAGAATATAACGGCACAGAAAAAAATCACGCATTACTAGATCAAATGAATCTAAAAATTAGCTACAACATATAGGTTAGGAAAAAATAATTTCAAATGTAACTTCAAAAAATATAATAAAAAACATCCGTCTACTAGTAGTTTATTTTCAGAATGTCCTTTGCCATCTTAGGCAGAATATTTTTCATAAAGCTGCTATCATCAGGGTGAGGAGGATTAAACACATCCTTGAACCTTTCTGTCAACTACACTCTCTTGACTAAATATTTTCAATTATTCTGCCTTTTTTTATTTACGTTTTATGAAGTAGATTAAGATCTTTTTTTTAACCTTTTTAAAAAAAAAGAAAAAAAATAACCTTTTTTTTTTTTCAAATTAATTTAGGTTTTTCTTATAAACTATCTTGAGTTTTTCAACTAGTAATTTTGACATTGTCTAAAGGTTTTAATCCTTTCTACAGTAAATCTGAGCTTGGCTGGAGCTGGTGCTGATTTAGACTTTTTTTTTATGGCTGGGAGAAATTTCCAAAATAAATATGTTTACAAATCCTTTGCATGCTTTTCTCTCAGCCTCTCTGATGTTTACACTTGGGGACAGAGTTGCATCTCGTAAGCATAAAACGCCACACCACTTTAACTTTACTGTAGATCCATCCCGCTTTATCTACTTCCACCACAAATTGTTGCCAGCACCTCCTCGGAAGCTCTTAGCGAGGAGTCAGTGACGACGTATCTGAGGAGGCCACCATACTGTGAGTCACCAGCTGAGGAAGAAAGTGTCTGTTGGGAGAGGATGGAAGATGACTTTAAGCTGCAGCCAGTGCTGAAGGAATTAGTCAGAAGATTATACACTCATCATTTCGGGATATTTCCTACTCCTTGAAATGTGGTGCTGACTTAGAACATTTCCTCTGTAGTCCTAATGGCTCATAAAATGAAGCTGACGAAGCTGCTACTTCTCTGAGCTTTTTAAGCCAAGGGACCCAGGAATTAGACACTCAACACTATTCTGTAACTATTAACTGTAACTTTGAGGTCAGTGGGACAGATCTAACCTTGTGGTTATCAATTGCTTTTTTATGTTGAGAATTTGTCTCAATTTTATTCCCTGTTGTATTTGCAATGTATTTTTTTTAGACCAGTGGAGCAATCTGTGAGCAGGTATGTTTTCTACACAGGCTGTGTGATGAGTTTAAGTGCCACATCGAGGAGCTGAAGCAGCTAGATGAGAAGATCCAGCGGAAGGTGGAGAAGCTGGAGCATCAGTGTCATCGTGAAGCAAAGGAATTTGCCCACAAAGTGCAAGACTTGCAAAGAAGCAACCAGGTAGGTTGATCCAGATGTCTTTAACCCTGGTCACACTAACACAGGTGTTCAGTAAAGATATTTTCTCCTCCTTCTCCACCCATTTCAAGAGCCCAATTTATGGTGAGAAAAGTGTAGAAATTCAATTGCATCTTCTGTTTTTTTTTTTTTAACCAAGGAAGTTCAAACCATATGCTGATATTTTCAATTTAAAAGTTTTTGCAGATTATTCCATATCAGTCTACCTTTGTCCTGTTTTTTCCCTATTAAACTTTAAACACATTGGAAATAAGTTTATGAAAACCAGCAAAAAAACAAACAAACTGATCTCTAGTTGTAGATCTGTATTTGGAAAACTGCAAAAATTCAATAACATTAGATCTATTTGCAATGATTGCATTATTCGATATCAAAGGCTGTATGAAAAAAGAAGACGACTATAATAAAAAATATAAGATGGAGAAAAGAAAAAAAACATACCAAAACCATAACTTTAAAGTTCCAGCATAAATTGAGGACTAGTATCTGGAAATAATAAACCGGCTCCAACTTAAATTGAGCTACTCTCTTCAAACAGCTTTTACTCATACAGACATATGAGCATGGTGTTTATGAGGTTTATGAGGTGTATGAGGTGAGATAACCTTAAAAAAAGAATACTTAGGTCACTGTAAAAAAATGTTAGTAAATTAACATTAATAAATGTAAGAATTTTCTTTGTTGTCAACTTGCCCAAATGTTTAGGGGAGTTGTGGCCTAGATGTTAGGGCATAGAGCTTGGAATGCAGAGGTTCTGAATTTAACCCTCACTCCCACAGACTGCCACTCTGGGTCCCTGAGCAAAGACCCTGAACCTCATACTGTTCCCAGGGGCGCAGCCCACTGTTCCCCAAGGGGATGGGTTAAATGCAGAGAGTGAATTTTGTTGCTCTGTACTTGTGACAGTGTAATGACAATTAAAAAAAAGCTGGAATTGTGTGACATCAGGAGGTCCATCTGTGAGACTACAAGCTTAGACGTTATGATACACGGTTAAAAATTAGAGCTTTGCAACAATTCGCTAGTAGTACATCTCAAATCTCAAATTTGCGAGTACGAACATCCGGGGTTTTAGATTCAAACTTGTCAGTTTGTACCCTTTAAACATGAAGAAGACCAAAACAGAACCATCAATCAAACTTTATCCAGCCCACGCATTGAAAGCAATATTTGAGAAAAGATATAAAGTTTAATTGATGGTTTGGTTATGATCTTCTTGCTCTTCTTTATGTAAAATCCCAGGTGTGTTACTTCCACCAAACTGGAAATGAGTGTAACAGCTTCATCGGGGGTTGTAGATGTGTAATTTGATTCATACCCATACATTTGTGATTTGTGTTTTTGAAAATTTGTAACTTGTTCCTAATTTTTTATAGATGAAACGTCAGATGGATGTTTTAGTTAACAACAAGGAGGAAAAGCAAATCTTCAGTTCGTCCATATTTATTGACTTGACTGAATAAATCAAGAGATCTTGCCGACAGTTATCTTCTTCATAGGTGTTTCCGTTCCTACATTATTAAGGATGTAAAGTTAATTGGACTGTTCATTTCCTGTTTTGTTTAGGTTGAAGGTTAGCCTCGGTTTACTTTATCCATGTTCTTTTTTCGTTTTACCGTCATCTGCGGATGCAGTTGCAATTCTATTGTGTGACGTCCTGCATTTCCTCTTTACATAATTTTTTTCCCCTTCCGTTTCCATTCAGGTGGCCTTCCAGCATTTCCAAGAGCTCGATGAGCACATCAGCTACGTGGCCACCAAGGTGTGTCATCTTGGCGACCAGTTGGAAGGGGTGAACACTCCTCGCCAAAGGGCCGTGGAAGCGCAGCGGCTCATGACCTACTTCAACGAGTTCTTGGATGGCGAGCTACGCAGCGACGTCTTTAATAACCCAGAGAAGGTAAAGCTGCAGCAAAACACTACTTTCTGTCACATATACCTAGATGTGTTGTGTTTACATATGTTTAAAAGTGAAGAAGACCACTGTTAAAGGCCCCTGCTGCGTTAGTGCTGGAGGTGAGTATGAACAGGATTAGGAAGTAACCCTCCCTCATTAATTTGTCAACTTGGATCCCTGGGCTAATTTGGATTAATAAAACTATCTGACAATAGCTGGTTGATTGATGAGCTCGGATGTCAAGATGCGGATGTCAAAACGAATTAGTTTTTTTAGTAGAATGTCTTAGACAGAGAATATATTGTTGTTTTTTTGTTTTGTTTTTTTTGTTTTTTTTTTTCCTCGAAGTAGCGGGAAGCTAGACGGTACACAGGGAGGCAGTGAAAACCAAACATGTTGCATAGAGCCTTGATAATGGGGAAATAGAGACTCCTAAAAGTTAGATTTTTGTAGTTTTGTCATGATAGTCAACTACGAAAACTGTTTGCAGTTTCAAGTAGTGAAGGAGGGTAGGGTCAATCCTACAGACTGAAGCTTGAGATGAAACTGGTATACCAGAGAGGCATGCAAAAAAATAAAAAAATATCTGTCCAGATTCCTCTTCCTGAGCATACCTCCATATGAGGGGGAAAGAGAAAAGCTGCAAGTGAATAGCTGAAGGGGGATGGCTTTGCTAATCCTTCTGAAAGGGAGGGCTGGGCCGCCAGCGTGGAGACAAGTGCTGCTAAACCCTGACTGCAGGGAGACGGCTACATTACTTACATGGGATTTAGCTAATCTTAGCTGGGGGACAGATACTTAGAAAACCTTCGCCGAGCAGAAAGCCTGGATCCTCCTCACGGGAGCAGAGTAATGATGTTAGCTGAGGCAGGCATCTGGAGGAACAGAGGAGTTGCGGACGGTGGGCCTTTCGTAGGTCTGTGGGTTTTTCAGCCGATGTGTGCGGAAGGGGGGGGCGGGGATTGATAGGGCCTCCTTTTTTACACAGATATCCCTGGCCGGACAGATTATTGAAAGCGATTTAGCCTCCTGTGGGATTACAGCCCATTCAGAAAAGACGTGCCAGTAAAGAGCTGGATGTGCTGCTAAGTCAGGACTGCTGCTGCCAATGCCCAGGTGAGCGCAGCCTGTCTGTTATCAGCTTCCTGTTTAACACAGGAAGGTGGAGGGCGGCTGCCTTAAGATGATGATCCCTCAAGTGGAGACACTGCCGGCGGCCTGCCCACTTTCTCTCTGAATGTCCACCTCACACGGTTCTGTTGTGCTATCTCCCTTTTCTTACCTCACCTGACATCTCCTCTCTCTCGCTCTCTCTCTCGCCCACCCATGCACTGTCTCTTTCTGTAACCCTCAGATTAAGGAGGCTGCTGATATCATTCAGAAGCTGCATCTCATTGCCCAGGAGCTGCCGTTCGACAGGTGAGTCAGGCCTCCTGGAGGCAGCTTTAGACAAGAGGGCTGTCGAACAAGTAGAAGGTTGGGAATTATTCTCATCGCTATGTTAAACCATCCCTCCCTTGAACTTTTCCTATTTTCTCACATCACAACCACAAAACTTGTTGTATTTCCCTGGAGTGTATGTGATTTAAAAAAAAAACAAACAAAGATTATTGTAAAGTTGATGGAACTACAAGAAATAAGTCTTTGTAAAACTTTTAAAATATTCCCCAAGTCAAACTCTGTCCTCTTTTTGCTGCATTTACAGATTCATATGCTGCATATGCTAGCTTCACACATTAAGACAGTGTTTTTTGGTTGTTTTTTTTTGCTCATTCTTCAATGCAAAATATCTTAAACTCAGTCTGACTGGATTGAGTATATCAGTTCTAATTCTTCCTACGGATTCTCAGTTAGATTCAGGTGTTGACTGGAGCAACACTTCATACAAATGAATATACTTTGATCTAAACCAAATTGTTTTTCACGCTATATCAGGGGTCGGCTACCCAAACTGTTCAAATATTGGACCAAAAAAACAAAAAACAAATCTGTCTGGAGCCACAAAAATGTAGAAGTGTATTATCCCACTATAAAAAAGGACTACATGGGCTTAAATATATATAATAAGCATTCATGATTAAATGTTAATCCTGGAGCAAATCTCACTTCATGTGGCTGCTCCACTGTACGATATTTGGTGCTGTAAGTTTAAATTCTGTTACAATATTAATGTATTAGGTTATGTTGCACTGATGAAATTATAGAAACACAGTAAAGTGTTATTTTGGTGTTATTTTTACTTTGAGAATTTGGAGGAAAAAAATGGAACAAAGTTCACATACCTGCATCAAATTCGATCTGTTGACAGTTTTTTAATGCTTGCAACAAAACTTACAGCAGTAGTGGAGTTAGGAGATGCCAGCCACTTTAAACTCTAACTTTGTGTTTCTCTAACTTATCCAGGAGTACTACGAACGCACTTTTTCTCTCCCTCCCAACTTGATGGTCAGCATATTGATGCCTTCCCTAGAAATGCATTTCCAAATTACACTTTTTTTTTCTTCATTACTTGACACCCTTTCATCACAAACCAAACATGCAGGAAATCCTTCCGTATTGGCATTAAAGCAAATAAATCGGTCCATTCTTGTTTGAATCTTGTACACTAAAGTAAGAGATCCATTCATCAACTATCTTCCTTTTTTCCCTTTGAGATCCAAGGTCCAAGATACATCCGCCACTGCTGTGCTGAAACCTGTGTTTCAGGCTATGATGCCAATCTTTGTTAACAGAAATGTTTACATTTATTGTTTAAATGTATTTATTATACACATTGGAAAACATAATGAATGTTTTTGACCTCCTGTAGGCCATATAAAAAAAAAATCCATCTTTTTCCATTTTCATAAATTTTTGAAAAAGCTCCAGGGAGCCACAGGTTGCTACCCCTGCTCTATATGTTGTAGTGTCATTGCTCTACTGGCAGGTGAACCTCCACTTTGTCCCTGGTCTTTCCCAAACTCTTAGAGACCCAGGGATGCCCTTTTATGTTGCTCCAACTCTGGCCAACATACTCAAATTCATACAGATTGATCCTCCCAACAACACTGTTTGCTATGTTTAGATGGAAAGGCCAATTTTTTTCTTTTTGTATGTTTGCCCAAAATAAATAATCATTATAAATAATCAAATTTGCTGTTATCTGACCAAAGCCCATTCTCTTACCTATTTGCTGTTTACCCTACAGGACTTGGGGCAAACAGGGCCTTTCACATTATATTTATCTACTTCCCACTCTTCAAAAATTCAACAATTTGCAGCATAGAACTGAAGGCGGTCTGCCAACAGATTTTAGGACCTTTATTAGGACCTGAATTGTGGATCTCTGTACCTCCTCTAAGGTCAGAATGGACTTCCTAGCTCCCAGCATTTACATGGCCTATCAGATTAGGAGGAATGTTGTGTCTGAGTTTCCATTCGAATTAACATTATCTGCTACTTTATGTTGCTCTATCACATTCAATCCTGATTTAAAAAAAACCCCGAAAAAATCCTGTTATGTGAAAAAATTATGAAAAAGTTCATGAGCACATAATGTATACTGCAATTAAAGTTTTATCATCTAAGGAGATATTCTCACTAATCATAAACGTCTTTCATGCTCCCTCTGTGTGACAGGTTTGCAGATGTCAAGGCAAAAATAGCAAGTATGTTTCTTATGACATTTACCCTCTATTGTCTTTTAAAACTAGTGAAGGTTTGAAGTATCTTCTAATACTGTTTTTTGTTTTATTGGGGTCTAGGTAAATACCATGACCTGGAGCGGCAGTTGATCCAGGAGTTTACCGCAGCCCAGCGCAGAGGGGAAATCGGTCGCATGCGGGAGGTTGCAGCGGTTCTTCTACATTTCAAGGTAGAAAAACATATTGGTTGCCTGTTCTTCTATTTCACTTTGTTTATTTAAGTGGCACATGATGTATTTAGTACAAGATGTTGTAAGTATTTTAATATCTTTGTCTTTCTTTTGAAGGGTTATGCACACTGTGTGGACGTCTATATTAAGCAGTGTCAGGAAGTACGAGTTTGACTTCTTTTTTTAACATGTTTGTCCATTTGTTTGTGCCTCTGGTAAAAATGACTGATATGCTCCTTTCTGTTTGTGTTTATCCGTCTTAGGGCGCCTACATTAGGAATGATGTGTTTGAGGACACAGCAGCCCTCTGCCAGAGGGTCAACAAGCAAGTGGGCGAGGTCTTCAGCAGTCCAGAGACAGTCATGGCCAAACTCATCCAAAACATCTTTGAAAACAAGCTTCAGGTACTTTCACAGTGATTCATTCATACATTCATGTTTGGGCTTGTTTTTAACTTCCTACATTCAAACAGGCTCATGTTAGGGGAAAACTGGACGAGACCCGACATTCAGATGTGGAGCAGTACCTAAAGAACCTCTACGACCTTTACATCAGGTAAAGCACTGTTCATTTACCGTTTTTCTGACTTTTAGTTTATGTGGTTCCTCATACTTCATTTACATCTTGATATTTTTAGGACCACAGCGTTGGCGACAAAGCTGGGAGAATACAACCTGGGCTCAGATAAGCACACATTCCTGTCCAAGCTGATAAAGAGCATTTTTTCCTCTTATTTGGAAAGTTACATTGACATGGAAAGGGAATACCTTCGCACTCGGGGTGCTATGATCCTGCAGCGATACTATGACTCCAAGAACCACCAGAAGCGTTCTTTAGGTTCTGGCAGGTCAGATTTACACCTCAAGATTTTTTATACAAAATAAAATTTTTCTGTTTTGCTGAAAATGAGCTAATTGTTTTCCTTGTTTAGTATTCAAGAGCTAAAGGAGCGGATCAGACAACGCACCAATCTGTCTCTGGGTCCAAGCATTGACACCCATGGGGAGACCTTCCTGTCCCCGGAACTGGTTGTGAACCTGTTACAGGAGACCCGCCATGCTTTCGAGAGGTGTCACCGGGTAAATGTTCTCTGCTTTGTTCTGAAGTGCATTTTACTAATGGTGCATGTTTTCTATTCAATTAATTTCTTTTTTTTCCCTCTACTGTGACACAGCTTTCAGATCCCTCTGATCTGCCCAAGAATGCCTTCTCTATCTTCCTCCTGCTGGTTGAACATCTGTGTGTAGAGCACATTGACTATGCCTTGGAGATCGGACTGGCAGGTACATCCATCTGTCTTCATTAGAACCGCCATGTCTGTTTGCTTTTACATGACAGGAATCAAAGAATCATCTAAACTGATTGGGCAACAAAAGACTTATAAAAGTCCAGAACTTGGTTGTTGATTAGGGGGAGTATTGGCCTAGGGGTGCACTTGTGCTCTGAGAAGGTTGCAAGTGCCCGGCTCGATCCCCACAGCCTGCACTCTGGATCCCTGAACAGGACGCTGAACCCCCGATTGCTCCCTGGGCGCCGCACATTGGCAGCCCACTGCTCCCCAAGGGGATGGGTTAAATGTAAAGTTAAATTACGCTAGTGTGAAATCAATCAAGTTATTTATTATTATTATGTATGTGCTTTGGTTTATTGCCAAGGTTATTTTTTCAACAAACAGTTTTAAGTATGTAACATTTTTTACCACTCTTTTTACCATAAAGGGTACAGTTTGTTTTAATTGTTTTCTGGTACAGGCTTTGCTTTTTAGCTAAAAACATGCATTTTTAAGGGGCTTGAACTTGCTGCTTTTCAATTGCCATTCCAGAAATTCAATATCTGGCTTCTTCCAACAATCAAAAACTAATATTGCTGTCTATTTGGATTGTTGCTGTGGAATAACACTTAATTTTGTCGCAAAACACCAATGTCACTGGCAGTAGTAGACCATGTCCACAGCATAATGCTGCCACCACCATGTCCGACAGCTGGTACAGTGCTCTTTGGTTGGAGTTCCTCGTCGTAACTCCTCCAGACATGCTTGGTCAATGCAGCCGACTTACTCTCTTTGTCATTTCTCAATGTGAAACTTTGATTGATGATTTCAAAGTTGTTTATTAATTTTCTTGGAGTTGTAAAATCAAATCGGTGCAGAGATTAAGCAAACAATCCATGTACGGAGGGCTTATTCCTTGACCCGGCTTTCACAGGTTCAAATATTAAAATCTTAATAAAAATAAAAAAATTGTAAAATGTCTAAAGAAGCAGTCAGAAGAAGAGTCCCAAAGTGTCCTTGGGAATTTCTCAATTTTAACAGAAAAACCTTCAGCAGATCCAACTCTGAGTTGATTTGTTTGCAGACTGGCTGTTAAGAATTATACAGAATTAAAGGCAGTTATATTTCCTTTAGTAGCTTTCTCAATAAAAAACATTGGCTTTTTGAAGCAGAAGTAGATGTACAGAAACATTTGAAAAAAACAGAAACTTGAACATTATGTCTCTTAAAATATTTTTTTGAGTTCAGAATACTTAAAATAAAATTAAGGTAAAAGCAGCAGTTTAACTTTCTATAGAATAGATTTATTTTATAAAGTTGTTGTTTTGTTTTGCTAAAATTGTTGTAATTAAACCTTTAACTGTATTAGAATGAATGACTGCTAGCTTATTTCTCATCTGAATGTGTCACTTTGAGGAGAATAGAATTTCAACATGATGGAAAGTTGTGGGTTAAAATGAAGAGAAAGTGCCGGGATAATTTAGGTCTGAGTTGGTGATTTCATGTTACATGATCCTGCTTTCTAACCGGGATGTTCTTACGCTGAGTCGGCTCCAGACAAACTGAAGCGGTTTTTCATCCTGGGCAGTTATCTGAGACAATAAGCTGTTAAAATAATGGGAAATGGCTGAAATAATGCTGCATCATCCCCTTTTAAAATGCCTATGTTATACTTTTATCCATGATTTTTTTCCCCTCCTCTTTTCCCTTCAGCAATTCCCTCATCTGATGCAAAAAATGCCAACTTGTATTTCCTGGATGTGGTTCAACAAGCAAACTCCATCTTCCATTTGTTTGACAAGCAGTTTAATGACCAGCTCATGCCCTTAATAAGGTCAGCTACACCTAAAAGACAACATCTAACAATTATTTCTCATAAGAACAGAATCATTTTCAATTTACCCAAAATATTCTCTGTAATCCGTCTACAGCTCCTCTCCAAAGTTGGCTGAGTGTTTGCACAAGAAGAAGGAGGTGATTGAACAGATGGAAGTAAAACTGGACACAGGAATTGATAGGTTGGTGTATTTTTTTTAATTAGTGAAGTAAGGTAATAAGAATATACTTTTCTCTTTGTGGAAATGGAAACACTTTTATTCCTCTGAGGCGTTTTCCTTTTGCACATAGAACTTTAAACTGCATGGTGGGTCAGATGAAGCACATCCTGACAACAGAGCAGAGGAAAACCGATTTTAGGCCCGAGGATGAGAACAACGTCATGATCCAGTACACTACTGTAAGAGATCCTGAACTCTCATGCAAAACGCAACACATCTTGTTCCTAAACTACAGATGATTAGTTACTCAGCTGTCCCTGTTTTCCCCCGTTTCTCTGGCAGGCCTGCTCCAAGGTTTGCGCCTACGTCAGCCGACAGGTGGACCACGTTCGGAAGTCCATGGATGGGAAAAACGTAGACACCGTGCTGACGGAGCTGGGCATTCGTTTTCACAGACTCATCCATGAGCATTTACAGCAATTCAGCTACAGCTCGATGGGAGGCATGCTGGCCATCTGCGACGTGGCTGAATACAGACGGTGCGCCAAGGACTTCAAGGTGAGTGAAGGGACAGACGTCCGAAATGGAAATACTCACAGGGCAAGCATGGTGTTAAACATTGTTAAGCTCTTTGAACTGATCTTCAAAATGTTTATTTCTGTTAAAAACCAAACATTAAGGTGCTTTTGATTAAATTAACTTATTGTATTTCCATTTAAGGTGATCTCAGGTTATATATATATATTCTTTAGACCCAGAAGGAGTTTGATGTTCTAAGGATTTTACAACTAAGGAAAAGAAAAAAATAATCTGTGTTTCAGCAAATATGAGTACCGGTAATATAAAAGTTCATTAAAAATGTGCAGAAATCCAAGCCTACTTAAGGAATGCCACCCACTGTAAAACTATGGTATGGAGGCATTCATTAAGGCTGTGTCTGATGAGGTGTTCATGAAACTCATACTGTGACCTTCACTGACCTTCAGCTCTATTCCAATGTCAGATTCGATGTCTTTCATCTTCCCCTTTACAATACCATGTGGATTCTTGGTGGGTTACAGGTCAGGCCAGTGGAATACAGGGATATCAGCGTAAATGAAGCAGGAATATGCATCTTCATAAAGCTTTTTAACAGAGGGAAGCATAGGATGATAGAAGATTCGCTGGTAGAAAGCTGCTCTTACTGTAGCCTTGATCAAACCAGGTGAACAAACCCCAGCGGTTCATACAACTCCCCAAATTATCACCGACCGTTCAAACTTCACTCTGGGTCTCAATCAGAATGGATCCTGTACCTCTTCAGTCTCCCTTCAAACTCTTAGAACTTCGATTGCCAAGTTCATAAATGTTTTTGTTTTGTCTTTCAACTGAAGAAGGAACTGTGAACCACATGGTAACGGTTTAGTTATTTTTCCCTTAACTAAGACAATTCTGTTGTATCTCTGCCTCTAAAGTGGATCAACATGAGGAATGCAGCAAACGTATCCCAGGCATTTTTTTATTTCTTCACCAAACTTTCTCCTTTTACTCAACCTTTCATTCATATGTTCTGATCCAGCCCTTCAGCTGAGCTGCTGTTGATGCTGGACAGCTGTTCCCCAGCAGTCCTAACATTTTTGTGAATAAAATCTTCTGTAATTAGATTTTTAGCAAAACAGAACTTAGTTTTCTGTCATTAAGCGTAAACCATATTTATCAACAACAGATAAAACGTCTAACATTCACACTGTGTATGTAATGAATCTATTTTAAGTTTGACTTTTTTTATTCATTGAATAAAACAAAATTGAATTTAATTTAATTAAACAACATAACCTGATGTAGATGCAGCTGTATAAGACATGATTGAAAAGATGTTAATCTTTTTTTGGCCTGTCTGTTCTCAGGTTCCTCTTGTGCTGCAGCTCTTCGATACCCTCCACGCTCTCTGTAACCTGCTGGTAGTTGCCCCTGACAACCTGAAGCAGGTCTGCTCAGGTGAGCATCTGACCAATCTGGATCGGAACCTACTGCACGCCTTCGTCCAGCTCCGAGTGGACTACCGTTCAGCCAGACTGGCCCGACATTTCAGTTAATGACTCTTTAAAGACTTACTGTTCTCCGTCCAGGGAAAAAAAAAAAAAACACAACGAATGATACATCCAGAAAATACTAATTGCCATTTGATTTGCATCCATAAAATAGATCAAAATGACTGGAAAGCCAATGCTGTCTGAATGTGGGAATTTTACCTTTTTTTTTCATTACTTTGTGAAAGGATGAAATTTAAGCATTCTTTGATCTTGAAATATTGTTTTTAAGTACTAATCTATGACAAATGTGGTAAGAGAATTACTTATGTCTGCGCTTGCGTAAAAAATGTTTTGTTTTGTTTTTGTTTGCTTATGCCAAATATTGAAGTTCTTGAGTTGGACTTGGGCACAGGATTAAAGCAGCTTTAAAGGGAGAGACTCCGATCAGTTTGGCTGATTAAATCAGACATCAGCTCTGCACTTTTAACTTCATATGGTTAAGACTTATTACTTTTGATGAAATGTAGAAAACAGAAAGTCTGACCAAACTGAAGATGGAGCCATGGCTGATTCTTGCGCTCCAAAAGGGACATCAAGAACCGGAGCGACTGCAACTCATAACCTGCTGCTTTCCCCTATGTGCCAGTTTCTGAGGTGAAAATAAAACATTGCAAAGATAAACCCGAACTCCAACACACCCAGTCTACATCCGCACCTTATGTTGAGTAGAAAATAAAGTCTGAGTTTTTAGTAAGGCATTAATCATCATGATTATTATCTCAGTTTTTAGCAGTCGGTATAGCTCTAACTCAGGTATGTGTCACTAAAACCTGCATTTCACTTCAGACTAACACACTGTATGGATTGTTTTTTACTCTTATTAAACATCCAAGCTTTATTTATTAGTAATGCGGTTTATGTAATGTTAACATTAAACAAAGTGGGGGATGAATGAGCTTTGAATTAAAATTCATTACAATATTATGTTGTATTTATTGCAGCGATATAACAAAATATTCAAAAGTTCACTGCGTTTAATAAACTCATCATTGCATCAATTCAAGGCCTCACCAACAGATTAAACCAAGTCATAGATGCTATGTCAGTCGAAAAATATATATATATTGATATTTAATAATGATTTCAAGGAAATAACAGCGATCTTAAAACAGCTTACCGTAAGTAACTATCCTAACAAATTGTTGTATATTTAGGGGTTTACAAATATCAAATTGAATGTTTTCCTAAAACAAAAAATTATTAATCTTATAATTGTTTATTAGCCACATAACACTAGTTGCCCCGCCTTTCTAATAAAAAGTTGGTTCAAAGGGCCGATTTTAACTGAGCTGGTGGTGCTTTGCACTTAATAGGGCAGGTGAGACAGACTTTCCTGTTTTTTGGAGTGCAGCAGCAACAGATGAGTCAAATGATTCACCTCTTCATCTCAAAGGAGATGTCAAGAGGTCATCATAGCAGCGGTTTGAGCTGAGCAACAAACAGGCGTGAGAATACCCCCCTCTAGAGGGTTTGGGTGGTCTCCTCGTGGATCAGGGCTCCGATGGGTCACTGAGTATGCGTCTCTGTAATTGCACAGATCAACACTTGCTCATTCAGCGTTGTGCAAAGTCCGAGACATTGTTCATTTGATCTGAAGCATTTCTGGGTCAGAGGAGGCCAAAATGTTGATCTCCAGTGATTAGGGAAACACATGAAATTTAAAAGGCACTTCTTCACACATGGCTTACCAGAGGTCCACATTAACTGCCCTCTGCACAAGCAGAAGAAACCCCGAGCCCCTGATGCCTGGAACTATTTACTGCTCTCATTGTAATGCTGTTTACTGCAATTATTGATTCAATAAAGATGAATTTTCTTATTAATTTCTGTATTTTTTCCCCCCCATGTTTTGAAATCTGTGAATAGAAAGTTGGCTTCACTCTTTCTCTGTGAATGTCACTTTCAAAGTGAGATGAAACACTCCTCCTTTCTGTAGAAGTCATCAAGTATTCATAGGAATTCTTGCCACCAGAGTAAAGTTCTGTCTCAGACTTCAGGAAGTGAGCAGAGCCGGAGGGGATTAGATCGGTACGAGCTGATGAATTGTGTGCAGTAGTCATGAACTGGGGGAGAGCTGGGGAGATAGAGACGGCTCAGAGCTCAGCTCCAGCGCCGGCTGGTTAGTGTTGTGTAGAAGGTACACACAGAGCCGTGCAAGTTCAAACAACATAATTAATTAGGCTAATATTAATATTATCAATGCCACATAAATTCAATTCTCTCAGTCCTAATCACAACTAGATAGCTTGTAAAAATTATTTTGTTAGGCCCTGATGCAAACAGTGGGGATTTTCCAAACATTTGAAAACTATTTGTTTTGCGGCGATTAATGTTCGTAACTCGGGAAGGGGTTGGGAGAGCGGAGCCCGGCCAGGGACGATAACTGGCGTGCAGACGGAGGCAGTGGCGCAGCGTGGCCTTGGGGACTCCCAGTATGGGCTCATGGAAGAGGTGGAGGGATGTGTTTTTCTGAGGTGGGGTGGGGTGGGTGTTTGAGCAGGTGGAAGAGATTAGTAATATTGTCAACACTGGAAAGGTGGATAAGACTGTACCCACTTAATCATCAGTTTGAGCAACTCTTGCATACTTGTTTGGAAACATAAAGACTCCAGTGCTACAGAAATCTGGTCAATATGCCCCAGTCCTCCAGTGGGTAAATAGAATCTACTTATGTATAATTTAACCTTGGTATGAATAAAGCTTTTCTGGGAAGACCTGAGAGGTTTCTTAGAGAACAAACTGCATCATGAAAAGCAAAGAACACAGCAATTTAAAGCTTATAAAACAATTTAGCTCAGCTGGAAGATTAATGCTCTGCATAAAACACGGTGCACTGGAAGATCCGAAAATGCCGTTTTTGTGTCTTCATGGTGGTGGCAGCATCATGCTGTGTAGATGAAACACTGCCGTTTTCTTCAGCAGGGAGCAGCTTGGGTACACAGATTGGGGTAAATACGGGACAGACAGACAGACAGAAGGAATTCCTGGTGGAGGGTAATATAGAATAGACAACCAGAGGTAAGCTGCAGCAAAATCTAAAGCCTAATGCAACTGAGAATATATGCTGAAATGTAAAAATTTATGTTTATTGACACCCTCCTTCTACCCTGACGTAACTTGAGCAATTATGGACCGAATGTCATCCTCTACATTTAGTTGCAGCTGTAAATGCTGAAATGTAAGCTGCATTTTCAGATTTCTATTTTTATATGATCTAAAATAAAAAAACACAGACTAATCTTTTAACATTTAAGAAAAAATATATATGTCATCCACAAAAAAAACTCAAAAGGCCAGCTCTGTTCCAGGAACTCCACGAGACGCTCTGGAGCTCATTTCACAAAGAAGATTTCCTCATAAAGAACATAAGTAAGCATCCTCTTCAGAAGATTTTTAAAGAAAACAAAAAACGTTTCTTCAGTCAGAGGCTTCTCCAGATCCGTTGCAAGACAGACAGTTACAGAAGACCCTACAACAACTCAATGAAAAAAGAAAAAAACCCTATGAATTATTGCAACATTTCCCTTCCCTTTGAGATTAATAAAGTATTTTTGAATTGTACTGTACTGAAATTCGTATTTTTTCTGTATAAGATAAGGTATTTATATTGAACCAGTTGTTTAAAGCACCAGCTCTGTAGGTCAGGTGTCTTAACTGGAAAGAAAAAACATTCATAATGTAAGAAAAAATTCTTGAACAGCTTGTAATACGAAAATACTATTTCCACATGATCGCCAACATCTGTTCACTTCTCTATTTCCTCTATATATCATCAGCCCTCATGTCCTGCCCGTCCACATCTAGTTCTTCCTCCTAACATCTCATAAATCCTTGCTTTCGGCACATTTCCGCTCCCCCATCCAGGCTGGGCGGCTCTGCCTCCTGGAGCAGTGACAATAAAGTATTACAGCAGTCAATCCATGTCAACAGCAGCTTTGCTTAATTCCTGCTAAACACGTTTAAACAAAATCTTCACCTAATGATGCATAATGATTTGCTCTTCACTGTGTTGGTGGATCATAACTATTTGGTGGTTAATTTCCCCACTCTACAGGAAAGGATGGCTGAGGTGGACTTGATTTGGAAGGAAGTCAGGGTTATCCAAAAGTATTTGTGCCCCTTTTTTTTTTTACTTTTTTTAATGTTTCATATGCTAAATCCAGTAAATTCAATGTTGTTCAATTTTGGAATATTTCATTTTAATACCACATCAAGAGGTGCATTATTGTAAAGTGGAAGGACAGGATGCTTAGTTTTTACTTTGTACTCCTACAAACGGAAATGTCTGAAGTGTGGCGTGCATTTGTTTGGTAACTATGGTCATTCCTGTTTGCAAAGGGGGTCAAGATCAATCTGATGAAAAGGGAGATTGATTTTTCAGCCCCTGATTGGTGTTTCGTTTTTTTGTTTCTTGGATTACCCTGCATTTGGTTTTATTCACCTTCCCATAAACTGACCAACATCTCTGTCGCTACTGAAGCAAAGCACCCTAAAGTCATGATGCTGCTACATTATTATTATTTTTTTATTATTATGAGGGATTGTCATCATTAGTTATCCACAATAAATGGAGCTTTGCAAAATAATAATAATAATAATTATTATTATTATTGTCTAATATAACCAGAGATCCATCCTGTGTGTTTTCTGTCCTCTGCTTGGCTCTTGTAAACAACATTTTTCTTCTTCCCTAGCTTAAAAAAGTACAGTTTGATGGAGCCCATGTTAAATACTTGTCCTCTAAACAGATTTTCTCACCTGAGATATGGATCCTTGCAGCTCCTCCAAAGATTCCCGAAACACTCCTGTTTGTCTGATAAATATCTCCTCTAAGTTCAGGTAGTCACCCATGTCTTTTTAAGTCTCTAGTTTAGTCTCTTTTAATTCTTCAGATGATCTGTTTGAGAGATATAAAATGTTAGGTGTTGTTTTACAATTTAACCATGTTTTAAACTTCTCCACCAGCTTAACGCTAATCTGCCTGCTTTGCTCTTTGGTTGGAATAATGCTGTTTCTTCTCAATCTGTGGAATCCTTTAAAAAAAAAACACTTCCACAAATCCTACCAGTATTGATTTAGTGGGATCTTAATCTGTTTTCTTGCTGTTACATGTATATTTTCCATTGAATTTTATATTATTTAAATAAATATTAATAATAATTTAACTGTATTGATATCACATTGGAGAAATGCACCTCTACAATTAACCCATCTTCTTGAGGAGAAGTGGGCTGCATTTGTGCGGCCCCCGGGGAGAAGTGTGGAATTTGGTGTCTTGCTCAGGGACCCAGAGTGCCGGCTGTGGGGATCGAACCGGGTACTTGCAACATTCTCAAAGCACTAGGCCAACACTTCCCCTAAAATTTGACACAGTGTTTGTTTGTTTTAATTTTTCCTTTTGAAAATTTTCAGATCTGTGTTTACAAATGCAATGCATTTTATAAATAAAATGCATTATTATTATTATTATTGAACTGGTCTGTGAATGTTAAAGAAGAAAACATTTGTAGAGTTCACAGACCAGTTCAATTTATTTCATTTTTTTTTCTAATCCCGCTGATCACTTCTGAATGCCACTTCTGGGACCGGGTTTTATAGGGTAACCATAATAAAGGGGGCTGGATCTGATTACTAGTTGAGAATTATGTGCTACTTCAGCCATCAAAATCACATTAAGATATAGTGAGATTTGTGATTTTATTTTAAAAGAGGACAATTTTAGAGGGGAATGAATATACTGAGACGGAGTGGTTCATCAATATAGATTCTAAAAATGTTATTTTTAAGTTAGAACTATATGTCAGCATTGCTATGTGAGAGATTTCCTAAGTGTGGGCACTCCGCCAGGCTCTCTGATGTGTTGCAGATGTTGCCCTGGCCTTGCCCTTCTGCAAGGCACAGTTGCAAGCACCACCCTCAGTCTTATAGCAGAGAGCTTCACTGTGCAGGTTGAAAACCGTGCCAGCTCCTCTCCCTCCCTCACTTTGCAATTCAAAGCCTTGTCTTAAAGAGCTTAACAATCCTCCCCTTTCATTCTTATAACAGTAGTTTTGATGGCTGATTTAGTTTTCCTCTCCACACCACTTCACCCGACTCCCAGCCTTATGTCTTATAAAAACACCAGCGCTGTTCTCTGCCGGTAGTGGTGTGTTTTCCAGGGTTATTTGCTGGCCTTGTGCCGGTGCCTCGCTCTCTCTTGGCTGGGTTTGTCTGGTTGACTGCTCCACAGGAACAGACTGGCACTCTAGCTGAGGGCTCCTGGGCCTGCATGCACAATCCGCTAAACATGGTGGTGTGTTTAGAGCTGCAATCTACTGATTTACATCAAAATGAACCACATTTATTGGGAAATAATCATCATTTTAATACAATACATGGAAATATTATGCTGAGGTTTTTTTTAGAATAATTCTCCTTACATGCAAATAGATATTGTTTTCTATATTGCAGGCAAGTCCGGTTCTAAATAAAACAGGTTAACTTACACAATGCATTACAGTGTGTAAGTGCTTAAGCAAACATCTATAATCATTTGAGGGATCCTGGATGCTCTCATCAATAAATACCTGCTATATTAGTAAGGCCCATGGCCCTCCTAACCCACTGATGTTAAACCAAGTCTCCACACACCAAAAGAACAAATCAGGTCTCTCTCTCTTCCACTGAAGATTAAACACTGCATCACCAAAGCATATGCATTTGTCTAATCAAGCTTTCGCCTGCAGCTACGTCAAATGTAAATGAATAGGCTTGTGTGTGCCAGCCTCTATTTCTGTTCAGCCTGAGTGGTGTTTGATGATGAAACGACAGGGCGAGTCTCAGA